ACAGCCCGTGTGTGGCCGCCCCCGCCCTGGACGCCTTCGTGGAGCGGGTGCTGGCGGCGGGCCGGCTGGGACGCGTGGTGCTCGCCAACGCCTCGAGGTCTGCCAACGCCTCGGACCCCACCTGGGACTTCGCCTCGGCGTTCTTCTTCGCCAGCACGCTGGTCACCACCGTGGGTACGTGAGCGCTTCCGCGAGATCCCCCGGCCCGCGAGGACCAGGGACCCCACCTCGTCCCCCCTCTCTGAGGACCGGGAGCCGTCACCAAATACCTTCATCCCGGCAGATCACTCCCAATCGGCTCTGAGCCCAGGATCCCCTCAACCCTCCCCACCTCCCACAAGGAGGACCTGGGACCCCCAGGGGCTCGGGGAGCCCCCATTCAAGGCTTTCCTCCCAGGACATCCCCCAGTTCCCCTGGGACCAGGGCCGCCCTCAGAGTACATTCTGGCGAGCGTCCGGGACCCCATTCCTCTGCCTTAACCCCCTTGGAGACTCGGGTCCCTACAGTACCCTCTGCGTCCACGACTGTTCTTCCTCAGAGTCCTCCAGCGAGGACCTGAGACCCTCTGCCTGAGAGCCCTCGACCCCTCTGGACCCGGACCTCAGCCAGGCCAGGACCTCTGCCCTTCTCTCTGGCTCAGACCTCCATCCCCTCCAGCATTATCTCTCAATGCGTTCCTCCGGGATGCCCCCTGGGAAATTCTACCCCAACCCTGACCATAGGGCCCCAGTGAGAACCCTGAATCTCCAGAACCCTCCCAGGAGCCACCACTAAAGACTTTAGTGCCAATAGAGATCCCTCCGCTAGGACATGGGGCCCCCATCTCAGACTTCCACCCCTGTGGACCTAAACCACCCCCCAGCAAGGGCCCCTGTCCTCCTACAGACCAAGGACCACCCCCACCCTCATATTCCCAAACAGGTAGCCTCAAACTCTCCTGCAGGTGCCCCTAACTCCAGACACAGGACCCCTCTTCACATATCCCACTCCATCTTGACGTTCCTTTGTATTGGGGAGCCCTCAGTGCAGGGTTTTCTTCCCAATAGGGACACCCCCTCCCTGTTCCCTCTGAACTTGGGACTTCCAATTCAGCAGCCCCCAGCTGTGAACGTGTGAGACAGAGCTACAGCACCCTCCAGGGAGGACCACTGAGTCTCCAGGCAGAAGCACCCTATCCCACCCCTCCAGTCACCAAATGGCTCCAGCACAATCCCCTAGTGTTTTCCAAACCAGACCCATGGGGACCTCTTTGAATGTGAGAATCCCTAGCTGAGATTCTCACCACTGTCTGAACACTGACACCCGTTAGGGACCCCAGCACCTTCCCCACACGCTGCCCTTAAGAGCAGAATCCTCCCCCAGCCCCACACAGGAAACCAGCCCAGGTACTCTGCCTTCTGTACCTGCTGCCCCTGCTGTGAGACCCCACTGCCTACCCTGGATTTCCCAAGAAAGGAAACCTCCTGGGGACCTGGCACCCCTCCAGTCTCTCCAGACCCACAGGTGGGACCTTTCTCCCCACCCCAACACTGCCCCAGCCTGCTTTGGACCCGAAATTCTCCCTCCATCAAGGACACTCCTGGCCCTCTGCACCCCAGAACCCTCCCCAGTATCCACTCGAGACCATTACCACTTTCCACCCTTAACACTCTCAGCCAGGACCAGAGACACTCACCCCCTCCCATCCTCCCCTTAGCATTGTCTACCCCTTTCATGGTCCCTCAGGCATCCTTGGGCTCAGAAGCCCCCTCTGCCTGAGGACTCCCCTCCCGTTCCCACTTGTGGTCTGAAAAATGCCTCCATTGGTGCCTGCCCCCTTCTTCCTCTGGACTCAGAACCCACACTCCCTCAGGTGGGACTGACACCCCCTTCTCCCCAGCCCTACTTGGAAAACCCCCACCTCAGTGCCCCACAGACCTGGAAAATCCCTTTGTGGGCAGGCTCTGCTTAGGCTTCCCACAACCCCTGCCCAGCTCCCAACCTTCCTCTTTCCTCTCCTTGCTAGGATTTGGACTGAGGCAAGGCTAACCCAGACTCCTAGCTTTCCATCCCTGCCAGCAATAGCCTGCATCGTCGTTGTGTGGACCAGCAAACCGAGGCCATGGGGCAACAGGGCTGGCTGCTTCTCATAGACTCTTCCTAGTAACTGGCTGGGCCTGCCGCACCTGTTCTTGGGCTCCATGCTCCTTCTGTCTCCTCCTAGATCCTGGCTTCTAAGAAGTTGTCCCAGGCAGAACAGGTGGAGAAGCCAAACTCAAGGCAGGCCTGGCCCAGGTTCAGATCCTCATTCAGTCACTGCTGATCTCTAAACCTCTGTGTCATCTGTAAAAATGGGGATAATAACACTTCCTGCTTCACAGTAATGGTAATACCTGGTAGAGGATTTAACCACATGGGTTTTAATTTGATCAGCGCAAGAGCCTTGTGAGGCAAGTACCTGTTAGTGGTCCTATTTTTTACCAGTAGAAATTGAGGCCCAGAGAGGTTGGACAACTTGCCCAAGGCCACACAGCTAGGAAGTGTAGAGTGCAGATTTGAACCGAGGTGATCAGGCCTCAGAGTCCCACGCTGTTAACCAATACACCGCGCTATTTCTTAGGCTTGCATGAATAAAGAAGGATGATGTGTGTATATTGTGTAAAAAAAATAATTCTGACATTTGTTTAAAATGATATGTTATTGCAGTAGGGGAGAGAGACTGAACTCAACTCTGAACATAGCAAAGACAGCTGGAGATTTAGAGCCGAGAGCACAGTGATGGGGACAGTGGATGGAAAATGATGAGGAGAAGACCTGGAGGGCAGGGGATTCTTGCTAAACTGGCTTAATAGGATTCTTGCTACAGACAGGCCAGGACTTGACTTAGATATCAAGGGTGGACAGTGAGAAATTTGATCAGATATCAAGGCAGGGGGAGTCTTCCTAAACCGACTTAGGATTCCTGCTAAAACCGGGCTGAGTCAGGAAGAGGGCTCACAGGGGCCTGACTCAAGTTTGGTCAAGGAGGGAGGCTGTGTCAGGGTGAAGTGCTGGGAGTGATAACTGAGGTTTCCAGAACCTCAGTGATCGTTATTACTGTTGGTGGAGCCAGGAGCCTTGTGTGCATCTGGAGAAATGGAAAACCGGACGTCATTCAGAGAGACCTCTCCCCCAGCGTCCCTGTCTTGTCATAGGCCGGAGTCTTCTGAGGAAGACCTGGGGCCTGGAGCTGATCCCGGCAGGCTCGCTGCAACTGAGGCCAGGGGTGGTGAAGTCAGCCCACTGGGAACTGGGAATCGGGAGAGAGGAAGCGAGCATTACAGTCATGCTAACTCTTTCCATGTTCTAGATGCTAGGTCCTGTCCCAACCTGCCTTTGAGGAGGGGATTTTTCTTTTTAATGAGGTACTGGGGATTGAACCCAGGACCTCGTGCATGCTAAGCATGCGCTCTACCACTGATCTATACCCTCCCTCCAGGAAGGGATTTGTTATGAGGCCATTCTGCAGTCCTCTGAGGAAACTGAGGCTCAAAGAGAAGTCACCTAGCCAAGGTCATGCAGGACCAAATAGCAAAGCACTGATTTGGACCTGGCTCTTTGAGGTAGCAAGTTGAGGCTCACAGCCCCCCAGTCTGTTCAAACTTGATGATTTTTTTGTCTATAAGGATTTCATGTCATTTGCAAACCCGTCATTTCAGCCAGGCTGCTGGAGTTTCTCCATCAAAATCCTTGTATTAATGAAGGTTGGAGTCTAAATGATGAAGCTCAAATAATAGTTGCTTAAATAAGACAGAAGTTTATTTCTTGCTCAGATTCAAGGTATTCATTCCACAACCAGCATGGTGCTGCGTGGTCAGAGACCCTTGTGTTCCTCTGTAACTCCTGGGCACGGTTTCCATTCCCAAGCTCATCTCATGGTCCCAAATGGCTGTTTGCCTCCAGCCTTCACATCTGTGTTCCAGCCAGCAGAAGTGGGGAGGAGAGAAGGGAGATAGGCATCTCCATTTCTCTGAAGACACTTCCTGGAACTATAATTTTTTCATGTATATATCACGGGCCAAGAATTATTCCAGAGTCACACCGAGCCGCAGTCGAGGAGGGAATAGCTATTCCAGGTGACCATATGTCCAGCAAAAACTAGAGGAATCTTTATTTTTCCTCAGTTTTTTATTGTGGCAAAATACACGTAACATGAAATTTATTATCTTAATCATTTTTAAGCGTACAGTTCAATGGTATTAGGTACATTCATTCATTCATTTTTGTGCAATCATTACCACCATCCATCTCCAGAGCTCTTTTCATCTTGCAAAACTGTATCTATACTCGTATACACTAACTCCCCATTCATTCCTCACCTCAGCCCCTGGCAACCACCATTCTCCTTTCTGTCTCTGTGATTCTGACTGCTCCAAGTGCCACATATAAGTGGAATCATAAAGTATTGGTCTTTTTGTGACTGGCTTGTTTCACTTAGCATAATGTCCTCAAGGTTCATCAGTGCTGCAGCATGTGTCAGAATTTCCTTCCTTCAAAAGGCTGAATAATATTCTGCTCTTTGTGTGTACATTTTGTCTATCCATTCATTCATCAATGGACACTTGGATTGTTTCCACCTTTTGGCTATTGTGAGTAATGTTACTGTGAACGTAGGTGTACAGTTATCTCTTCCAGCCCCTGCTTTCAATTCTTTTGAGTATATTAAAAAAAAAAAACAGGGCGTCCTTTTGTGAGGAAGACAGACCCAGGGGAAACCTGCTCATATGTGCAGTGAGTGCTTCCACACCTTCTTACTGATCACAGGCTGCATCTGCAGTCTATGGGGCAACACATTTTACTATCAACATAAACCAGTCCCCTTACCGCCCCAGTCTTATCTCTGGCCCTTTGTTTGACTTATTTGGGAAATAAAAAGAGATTTTAAATGTCACACTGCCAGAGTGAGCCAGTTTTACCAACACCTGAATTCCCCTTTATGGTATTTCTGTTTGCAGAACTCACATCCACGCTGACCTTCCTGTGTTCCCAAGTCCTCCGGGACCCAGTGGGGCTTTTCACACCCATTTTAAAGTAGAGAAACCAGAGGCTCTGAGCCAGGGTAGAGCTTGCACCCTGCATTTATTATTTTGACTGTTGATCAAGTGCCCACTCTGTGCCAGATACCAGGGTGACAGTAGTGACCCACCCAGATAGAAGCCCCTGCCCTCTTGGGCTGGCATCCTGGGGGGACACAGGCAGCAACCAAATAAGTAAACCATGTGCTATGCTGGAAGGTGTTAAGTGCTATGAAAACAAACCGAAAGGAAGAGTTGGGTAAGAGGGCGTAAGAGTTTTAAATGGTGAGGGAAGGGCTCACTTAGGTGACATCTGAGCAAAGACCTGAAGGAGGGGAGGAAGGGAGCCATGTGGCTGATACCTGGTGGAAGAGTGTTCCACCTGGCAAGAACAGCCAGTGCAAAGGCCCTGAGGTGGGAGCATGCTGCCCTGTTGGATTGTGTGGTGCCTCGTGGGTCATGATGAGGACCTCTTACCTAAGTGAGATGGAGCCACAGGAGGGCTCAGAGCAGGGGAGGAATGTGGTGACCTAACTACTGTGTTCATAGGGTCCCTCTGGCTGTGTAGAGGGGAAGAAGGGAGATCAGGGGAAAGGCTGCCAGGTAGACAGGACCAGGATGGAGCCGTGGGGTGGAGTAGGGTGAAGTGGGCAGGATTGGGATCTATTGGACAGTTGAGACAGCAGTTCTCACCTGCTGTCTGGAAAGTGAGTGACAAGGAAATTGGGGATGACCTAAAGGCTCTAGGCCTGAGCAGCGGGAAGGGTGGCAGTGCCACCACCTGGGACGAGACACTCTGGGAGGGGCAGGTTCTGGGGTGACATCAGGTCTCGGTTTAGGGTGGTGGCCACAGAACCCAGGGTGGATGCCGAGTGGGCAGAAGGATTTCCCCTCGCTCCCGCAGGCTACGGGTACACGACGCCGCTGACTGACGCGGGCAAGGCCTTCTCCATCGCCTTTGCGCTCCTGGGCGTGCCGGCCACCATGCTCCTGCTGACCGTCTCAGCCCAGCGCCTGTCGCTGCTGCTCACCCACGCGCCCCTGTCCTGGCTGAGCCAGCGCTGGGGCTGGGACCGCCGGCGGGCAGCCCGCTGGCACCTGGCAGTCCTGCTGGGGGTCGTGGTGATCATCTGCTTCCTGGTGCCAGCTGCAGTCTTTGCCCACCTTGAGGAGGCCTGGAGCTTCCTGGATGCCTTTTACTTCTGCTTCATCTCACTGTCCACCATTGGCCTCGGTGACTATGTGCCTGGAGAGGCCCCTGGCCAGCCCTACCGGGCCCTCTACAGGGTGCTGGTCACAGGTGAGTTGGAGTGGCTGGCTGGGGACTGAAGGTGGGGTCTGAGGGGAACCTGACCCCTCCCGGGGGGAGTTGAGGGTCACAGCTCCATCCTGGGGGGTCCTGTAGCCCTATGGCCCAGCCCCAGAGGTCTGCGTCCACTCAATGCCCTTCTGCTGTCTCTGCAGCCTACCTCTTCCTGGGCCTGGTTGCCATGGTGCTTGTGCTGCAGACTGTCCGCCGCGTGTCCGACCTTCATGGCCTCACGGAGCTCATCCTGCTCCCCAACCCGTGCCCCACCAGCCTCGACCAGGATGAGGAAGATCGGGTAGACATTCTGGACCCCCGGTCAGAGCCACACCAGCAACTCACTGCCGGCTCCCACACTGACTATGCCTCCATCTCCAGGTAGCTGCGGCAGGTGCCGTGAGGCTGGACAGACCAGCTGAGGGGCCCACGTGACTGAAACTGATGGACTAGAATGTCCAGTAGCACACGCTGGTGTTCGGGAGGCACTGCTTAACTGTCCGTCCTTTGTTTTACCTGTCCCGGGCTCCGCGGGCATCACCACCTCCTTGTTTCCCCTGCCCCTCCTGTCACTTCGCCCTCCACCCCTACACTGTATGCCTCCCTGGCTTTCTGTCCATTTCTGTCCTTCCCTCTCATCATCTCCTTGTTTCTCATTCTTTTAATCACTCCAACAGCCTCTCACTCAGCCACTCATCGTCTGCTGATCCTACCAGGCTCTGGGCTCAGACCTCATTTTGGGCACTAGATCAGTCACTCCATCTTGGATAAGTGACTGTCCCTTTCTGAGCCTTGATTTCCTCATCTGTCAGTGGAAAGAATTTATGCACTCATCCAAAGCCATCTCCTTTGTGCCGGCCCATACTGGGCAGTGCTAAGGACACAATATTTAAGACAGCCTGGGTCCCACTCTCAAGGGGCCATGTTATTCTAAGATGATTTCTTTGGCCAAGCCCTGTTCTGGGTACTCTACTTGTGAGGAAGACAGTATTATCACCCCTTTCCATAGCTTAGGAAACTGAGGCACAGGGAGGAGAGGTCCCTTTTGTCTTAGACACAGAGCTAGGAGGTGATTGATTTTCTGTTTACTGCCCCTGACATTTGTCGCCTCCCAAGATGGTATATCAGTAATAGCATTTACTGCCAACAGTCCATCTCCTGAGCTGTTACCTCTACCAAGCCCTGTGGAGGTCCCAGAAGAGAAAGGGCATTTGAGCCAGGCCTTGACAGTGGACAAGGAGAAAGGGCATGGCGAGGCATTCCAGGCGGAAGGACTGTGTGTGCAAAGGCCTGGATGTACGAAAGTATGTTGGACATCAGCTTCTGGCAAGCCATTTCCTGTGACTGGAGTATGCAGAGAACGAGGGAAGGAGGGTGAAGCAGTGGACGTGGGCACATCTTAAGCATCCTTAACTGACCAACTCTGGAACGTGGTCTCTTTCTTGAGGGCACTAGAGCGTCATGGAAGTGTTTGAGCTGGAGAGGGCTGTGGTTAGGTTTGGGCTTTAGCTGCTGTGTGGAGATAGACCAGAGGGGGAGATTGAGGCTGGGGGCCCAGGGGAGGCTAGGGCAGGAACAGAGCAGGAGGCAATGGGGCTGGACAGGGCTAAGGGAAGGGGAGGAAACATGCTGAGGAGGCCAAGTGGACAGGCCATAGGCCTTTAGACCTGGGAAGGACAGGCCAGGGAAAAGTCCAAAGATGGTTAGCTACCTCTGAGATGGGGACCTGGGATAAAACTGATTTGAGGGGAGATGATGAGGCTTGTTTGGAACATGGTGGCTGTGAAGGTCTAAAGGGATGTCCAGGAGAAGGCATCAGGAGGTCATAGGACCCTCAAGGCAAGGGCTCAGGGGGTGGTTGAAGCTGGAGACAGATGAGGAAATTGAGGTCATGAGGGTGGATATGACAGCCCTGAGTGGGAATGGAGAAGACTAGCTTTGAGAAATCAGCTTTAGGGTATTTATGTATTTAGATCAATAAGGAAAGATTTGGACTGCAGGTAACAAAATCCTGTCTGGCACTGGGTGAAGCAACAAGATGGTCGTATATTGCACATTGCCAGCGTTGGGGAGAGCTCTGGGCATGATACAATCCGCAGCTCCAGGAGGGTCTTGTGGCCCTAGGTTCCCTCTCTCTCTGCTCAGCTACCCTCAGTGGAAGGCTTGGCTCCCACGTGGGCTTTCATGGCTCCACAGATCCAGGCACCATAACCCAGACATGTTAATGTTTAATGGAAGAAGAGGGGTGATGTCTCTTCCCATGTTGTCTCTTTGGAAACAAGTTAATCTTTCCCTGATGTCTCCCAGCAGACTTCCTTTTGCATCTCATTGGCCAAAATTGGCTCACATGCATATCTTGAACCAATCGTTGGCTAAAGTGACGGCACCATCATGATTAGCTTGGATTCCTCAGAATTTCCTCTGCTGCCCAGGACTGAGGCTGAGGCTGAGGTTTTAGTTTGCAGGCTGTCAAATACCTGAACAAAACTGGGCTTCTATTAGTAAGGCAGAAAGTTGGGAGAATGGGCGGACACTGAGGAACTAGTCAGCCAGGGCCATCATGTACAATTATGCAGGTTGGGACCAACGTAAGGGATGCCTGGCCTGCAGGGTGGAAACAAATGGGGGCTGAAGTTCAAGACTGAATATGCCCGAAGGGGCTTTCTTTTTCTAATGAACATAACAGCTTCATATGGTGAGCAGTGTCCCTTCAAATAATGTCCTCATACCAGAGAGAAGAGCTTACAAAGGAGACAGAAGTTCCAGAGAAGAGTAGCAAAACCAGGAAGGCGGGGAGTATTGGTAAGATGAGAGAATCTTAAGGAGGGAGAAGTCAACACTGTCAAATGATGCTAAAAAACCACATAAAATTGTTTTAATAATAATGATGGAAGACACTTATATGGGATTTATTATGTCCCAGGCACTGTTCCAAGCCCTCGATACACAAGAATTTATTTAACCCTCTCAGCAACTCTGAGTCAGGTACATTCTCCAAATTGCAGGTGGGGAAAGGAGGCTCAGAGAGGCTAAGGAACTTACCCAAGATTACACAGGAAGTGCAGAACTGGAATTTAACCAGGTTTGGGTTGGTTACCTTGTCCCATGGAGGCTTAGAAACGTTCACTGTCTGTCTCTTAGCCTCCCAGCCTTCCTAGCCATTGTTGGCCCTGCTGCTAAAGTCAGCAGCTAGGTGAAGAGGCAGCGGCTTGAGGGAAGTGCCTGTATGATCTGGCTTCTGTGCCTCACCAGTTCTCCTTCCACATTCCTCTAGACAAGGAAACCAGGCCACACTCATTTCAAGATTTTTTTTTTAAATGTGCATGCTAAAAAGTTGAAAAAGTACAGAAGAGTGTACAGAAAGTAAGTCTTTCTCCTGTATGCAGGCTGTGTTGACGGATTTCTCAGGTCTCCTTCCAGGCATGTGCCAGCAAAATACATGTGTGTGTATATGTGTGTCATTAATTTTTTTCTTTCACTCTGCATAAGTGGTACCTGGTATGGTGAGGTGGTGACAATTACAGATTCTGGAGGCCAAGTTCCTGGGTATTAATCTGAATTCAATCACTTGCAAGCTCTGTGGTTTTGGGCAAGTTATTTCACCTGCCTTTGCCTGAGTTTGCCAGTCTGTGAAATGGGATGATCATAACACCTACCTCATGGATTTGTCTGAGAATGAAGCAATTTAATATCTGTAAAGCTCTTAGAACCGTGTCTGGTACTCAATAAAATGTCAGCTAGTGGTTATACTCATTTCTGTACCTTGCTTTTCCATATTGTTTCATGTATACATACATAATATTTCTATACTTTTTACTTTTTAATGATTTTTTGTGGGGGGAGGTAATTAGGTTTATTTATTTGTTTGTTTTAATGGAGGGACTGGGGATTGAACCCAGGACCTCATGCATGCTAGGCTGCGCTCTACCACTGAGCTATATCCTCCCGCCATACTTTTCTAATATTTTCTTTTCTGCTTTTTTTCATGTACCCAGTGTAATTGGAGATTATTCTAGAGACAGACAAGTAGGTCTCATATCCTTTTTTATGTCTGCAGTGCTTCCTCTAGAACTCATGTCCCATAAATTATTTCCACGTTTCATTAATGGACATGTGGGTGGCTGCCAGTCTTTGCTGGCATAAATGATGCTATAGGGTGTACATTGTGCTTCAAGGTAACAAAGGCACCTCCTCTTGTAGGGGTACATTCCTGAGTGTGGCAGGGGTGCCTTGAGGAGATCCCAATCCCTCTGCCTCTGTGAGTCTAGAAGGGTTCAGGTACACAGCTGCTGGGTTTCTTCCCTGGTCTGCGCAGGTGGGCTGGCGGCGGGGGGCGGTGGGGCACAGACTACCATCAGCTCTTCATTTATAAAGAACACCTATCCTGCTCTATGTTGCACAGAGTTGGGAATAACAGTGACAGAGAAAGCCCCAGGCCCTGCCCTCCCATGGCCTGGCATTGCCAGGGGAAGGAGTGTGTCACAGACAAGGGTTCGAAGAAAGGAAAGCAGTCAGCTGGTGACAAAGTAGGGAATAGTATCCCAGAGGGTATTATAATGTGTGAACGTGTGTACAATCTGGAGGAGAGCAGGCACACTTGATCAAGGATATCCAAGTCGCTCCGTGTGACTAGGCTTTGGACTACACAGGGAGACAGGAGATGAGCAGGATGGGAAGTACAACAGGGATGAGATTATGCAGGGCTCTGGGAAACAGTTGAGTTTGGATGTTTTCCTGGGGTCCTGGGAGTCATGGAAGGTTTTAGTGCACTGATTTCCAAAGTGCTGTCCCAGATCATTAGTATCAGCATCACCTGGAAACTTGCTAGAAATACAGATTCTCCAGCCCCATCTCAAACTTGCTAAATCAAAAGACCTTGGGGTGGAGCCCAACAACCTGTTTTAACAAGACCTTCTGGTGAGTGTAATGCTAGTTTGAAAGCTACGGGTTTAGAGTAAAGTCAGTTTTGCAGTTCATCAAAAAGTAATGGTGTGAATCTTTAACTGTTAGTCATCAGAATACAAATGAAAACTTACTGAAAATTTTCTTGGGCCAAGCATTCACGTGTTACCTTATTGACTTCCGAAAACAGCTCTGTGAGATGTTATGCCGCAGTCAGATTAATTCCCACATGGAAACCAAACTTTTTCGCTATAATTGTGATGTCAAAGTCTGTTTGGGTAGAAGGATGAGTAGGCCAGAAGCACCAAACTCTCTGAAGGACTTCCTAACACAAACTTCATCTCCAGCACCCTCTGCCGGCCAGGTCCCCGCGCAACTGGGTGTTGAGCACCGCCTTCTCTCTGCCCGCCAAGCCCTAGGCGCCAGTTGGGATGCGCGTTACCATGAACACAGGAGCGCGAGGCTAGCGGGCATGGAGAAAGGCGGAAGTCAGTTGTGGAAGTGCGAGCGACCATTTTGAGACCAGGCAAGAGGGGCGGGACTGGAGCGGCCAAGTGACGGTTGACCGGTTTTAACTTAGTGACTGGTATCGCGGGGCGGGGAGAAGAGGGGGGTGCCTGGGACCATCCCTGGGAGGGATGCGGGGGCGGGGGCGGGGTTAAGAAGGGGAGGGAAGGGAAGGGGGGAGGCGAGGAGGGGAGAGGCTGGGAAAAAGGAGGAGAGTCAAGGTACTGGGTACATACAGGACGGGTGGAGCGGAGAAAGGGAGGGGCTCAGAGGAGAAGCGGGTCGATGAATAGCGGCGGGGCTAGAAGAGACGTAGCGTAGAGCCGGGAGCTGTCCAGGGCATGGAAACAAGTGGTGAGAAGGGGTGGGGAGAGAAGGTGTCGCAGTTCGGGGGGAAGGTGACAATCGAGAAAGTGAAGACGGACAAGGTAGCGCCGGCATGGGACGAGGATAAAGTGCAGGGAGAGGAGAGGGTGCGGAACGAGGGGAAGATCAATGGCGAGGAGAGATCCAGCGGCAAAGATAGGGTCTCTAAAGAGAAGGGGCGGGGCCACAGGAGGAGGCGGGGCGAGCAGCAGGCTTGGGAAGAAACGCTCCTCCAGTATAAGGGAGAAGGGAGGGTCGGTAATGGGCGGGACAAAGAGCAGGAGAGTGAGAGGCTAGCTCCAGGCGAGAAACAGGGGCGGGGACAGGGGAAGGGGCGGGACGTGGGGAAGTTCTGGGAAACGGATAGGGAGAGGGGCGGAGCCAGGCGTAAGACCTGGTACCTGGGTAGGGCCAGAGGACGGAGAAAGAGGTCCTTCGAAGAGAAGCTGGGGGGCGGGGCCAGAAGTGGGGGTGGAGCCAGGTGCAGTTACGCGATCCCAGGGAGTAGCAGGACTGGGAAAAATAGGTGGGGAGCAGGTAGATTAAGAAACAGAACCCGAGACCGGGTGAAGAAGAGTAGGGGCGGGATGCAGAGCAGGGGCAGAGCAAAGAAGAAAGGTGGGACAAGGTTAAGGGGCGAGGCGAGGAGACAAGGGGGAACCAGGAGCTGGGGCGTGACCAGGAGTAACAGTAGGGGCGAGACCTGGAGTAGTGGCAGAGGTGGGATCCGGAATTGGAGTGGATGCAGGATCGGGGGCAGGGCCGAGGTTTGGAGCAGAGGTGGAGCCAGGAGCAAAAGCAGGAGTGGAGCCAGAAGCAAGAGCTGGAATCGAGCCAGGAGCAAGAGCAGGGGTGGAGCCAGGTGCAAGAGCAGGAGCGGAGCCAGGAGCAAGAGATGTTGTGGAGCAAGGAGCAAGAACAGGGGTGGGGCCAGAAGCCTGTGCAGAGGCGGGGCCAGGAGCAGGGACCAGGCGAAGCGCAGCAGCGAGGTGGGATCTCAGACAGTGCCTACCAAGAGCAGTCTTGCAAGCTAGTGTTGACCTCCGCATTCTCCATGTTGAAGCCACTTTGCTCGCTGCCCCGAGATGTCCCCTGCGTGGCCGAGACTCCGAGTTCTGCGAGAGTTGAGGGCACTGCTGGTGGTGCTGTTAGCACCATGGAGGTTGTGGGCGATAAAGGATACACAGGACTGCACCTGGCAGGTTGCCCTGAACAAGTTTGACGCAATAGGCGAGAACCACACGAGCGATCGTTTCTTCTATCAAGAGCCCCTGGACACAGTGGATGAAGTGTTCAGCCTGCTGGTGGATGCACCCATCGACCCGGACAAGGTGAGGGGACTGGGGTCAGGCGAACGGGAGAGGTCCTGGATCTGCACCCCACTGGGCTCTGAACGTTTGCCCAATTTCTCCTTGCAGACATACCTGGGCTTTCCTTACTACCTGAAGATCAATTACTCCTGCAAAAGAGAGGTGAGTGGGTGCAGCCGGGGGTGGGCTCATTCTATGTGGGCCTCAGTTTCCCCAACACTAACATTCAAATAGCAGTGGTACTACCAGACCCCAGGGAACTTAAAGATTCATTAGTGGAAGGACATTTAGGTTATCCACTTTTGGGGGTGGGGGGCTGTTATGAATCATTTTGCTATGAACATGTGTGTACAAGTTTTTGTGTAAACATATGCTTTCGGTTCTCTTCAGTATCTACCTAGGGAGTGGAATTGCTGGGTCATACGTTAACTCTTTCACTTCTGAGGAACTGCCTGTTTTCCAAATCAGCTGTGCATCATTTTACATTCCCATCAACAATGTATGAGGGTTCCAGGTTCTAAGGGTGGTTTTTATTTACTAATTTTTTGTTGTTGTTGTTTTGGGGGTTTTATGGGGGAGAGGTAATTTTATTTATTTATTCATTTATTTTTAGTGGAGGTACCAGGGAACTGAACCCGGGACTTCATGCATGCTAAGCATGTGCTTCACTACATGAGCTATACCCTCCCCCTCTTTAAATGTGGTTTTGATTTGCATTTGCCTCATAACTAATGATGATGAACATCTTTTCATATGTACCTTGGCCATTTATCTACATTCTTTGGAGAAATGTCTATCTAGAGTCTCTGCCCATTTAAAAATTAGATTATTTGTCTTTTTATTGTTGCATTGTAAAATTTCTCAATATATATGGGAGGCTAGTTTCTTATCAGATATATAAATTGTAAATTTTTTCATATTCCATGTCTTTTTACTTTCTTGATGGTGTCCTTTAAAACACAAAAGTTTTATGTTTATTGAGATATAATTCACATATCATAAAATAGTACAAAAATTTTAAATTTTGATGAAGTCCAATTGATCAATTTTTTTCATTTGTTGCTTGTGCCTTTGGTGTTGTCTAAGAAGGCTTTACTTAACCAGAGGCCATGAAGATCTACTCTCATGTTTTCTTCTATAAGGTTTTTGTTTGTTTGTTTTAGCTCCTACATTTAGATCTTTGATCCATTTTGAGTTAGTTTTTGTATATGGTGTAAGGAAGGGGTCTAACTTTTATGTGTGAATATCCAGTTATCCCAGTACCATTTGTTGAAAGGATTATTCTTTCCTCATTGAATTGTCTTGGCACCCTTGTCAAAAATCAATGGACCATAAAGGTAAGAGTTTATTTCTGGGTATAATTCCAGTCCATTTCTCTATATATCTGTCTATATGGCAGTACCACACAGTCTTGATCACTGTAGCTTTGTAGTATGTTTTCAAGTTGGGAAGTTTGAATCCTCCAACTATGTTCTTTTTCAAGATTTTTTTTATCTCATGTCAGCCTTCTGAGGACAGTAGAATCTGCCATAGACTAACATTTACTTGGAGGAAGTACAGCATGATAGTTAATCCTTTCGGCTCTGGAGCCAGGCTGCCTGGGTTCAAATCCCAGCTCTGCTACATAATAGCTGTGTGATCTCAAGCTAGTTACTTAACTTCTCTGTACCAAAGTTTCCTCATCCTTAACACAGGTACAATAATGATCATACCTGCTTTCATAAAATAATTAAGGGGGTTGAGGGGGTTTAGTACAGTGGTAGAGCACATGCCCGGCATGCACGAGGGCCTGGGTTCAATCCCCAGTGTCTCCACTAAAGGGAAAAAATACATAAAATGATTAAATACATGTGATGCACTTACCACAGTGCCTGGTTCATAGACAGGGCTCACTGAATGCTGGCAACAAGTTTTTAGAGTGTGATCCTGGGCAGAGAGTTTACTCCATGAGCCTTCTCTCCTTCTCTGTAAAAGCATGTTAATAATGATACCTTTATCTCTTCATGCCACACCTACTCCGAGTCAGATCCTCTTTTCTTCTTTTTTACAACGGGGTCGGGGGGTGAGGGAGTGGGGGACACAGTGAAAAACAACATGGCCAGGTTTTTCTTCTGGATTCAGCCCACCAGCGAAGCAGACAATCAGCAAGTAAACAGGTTAAATAATTTATTAGAGGAATCAGAGCAAAGAAGAAAGTAAAAGGAGGTGATGTGTTCGAAAGGAGGGTGTTAGCTGGGGTGGCTGGGGGGTGTCTCTGAAAAGGCTGGAGCAGAGCCTTGAATGATGAAAGGGGAGGCCCATGAGGAGAACCAGGGGAAGCATTAGGGTCAGTGCATCAGCCCTGAAGTAGGACCAAAGCTGGAGTGTGTTTGAGGATCAGCTAAGAGTCCCGTGTGGCGGGAGCAGAGTGACAAGGGGGACAGTGGGAGGGGATAGTGAGGACTTGGCCTACACCCTGAGTGAGGTGGAGCCATGAAAAGGTTCTGAGCAGAGGAGGGAGGCAAACTCAGGTGTCCGCAGGCTCCCTCCTGCTGTGGGGGTGGGGTGGGACAGGGAGCAAAGAGATGGGGTGGGGGGGCAGATGATGGTCTGGGCAGAAATTAAGGATGGATGGGGCCACGATAGTCATAGCCACTGTTGCCCTGACAGGGAGGAGGTCCCCCCACCCCACAGCACCTGCTGCCCTGTGTTGGGAAACCCGGAGGCTGGGCTGGGGCAGGTGAGGTTGGCAAGATTGAAAGGGCCCTGGCTGAGGCATTCCTCAGGGTGAAGGTCTGTGTAGAGGGGGTCAGACCTGTGAAATCTCCTGTCCGGGTCCCACACCTCGCCCACCACGCAGCTGCTGCAGTGCCTGGAGTACAGCTCTCTCCTGAGGATGCCTCCAAGCCTTTGCTTATGCTGATTCATACCCTGGAACACCCTTCTTCCTCCTTCTATCTCCACTCTAAGCCCTCCTTGCCCTTCTCAGCCCAGCCAGGATCCTGGTATCTCTGCGAGGTTGTCCCTGGCTGCCCCATCACCCTTTACCCCAGTTCCTTCCTGTCTAACTGCCCCACCCTACCCTCATCCCCAGGCCCCAACCCCAAACCTGGCTATTTTCTGACTGGTGGTGGTGGCAGAGAGTCTAATTTCTGCAGGAAGGGCGGAAGCTTCTCAAGACTGGGGCTTGGAATCCCTGAAGTGAGGGAAGAGGCTGCTAGCAGTTTGGGGTGTCAGGCACTCCCACCTTTACCTTTATGCTTAGCCCGTGTGGTCCTTCCCTACGCACTCCCTACATCCACATTCTGTCTGAATACTTTGCTATGGACTCTCCTCCTCCAGGAAGACCTCCTGACTCTCTCCACAGCCTGTAGTGCTTTTGCCCCTCTCCTAGTCTGGCCAATCCACCAGCCCCAAATCTGGATCATGTTCTCTGACCTTCCCATGGTGAAGGGTCAGTTCTCCTGACCCAGCCCAGGAAGACAGGCTAGTAAAGGTGGGGTCACAGCAGGGGGATACACAGGCTATCTTACAGACATGCCTGTGGGGCCATCTTACCCTCAGTTCTCCGAGGCCCTGGTTCGCAAGGGCCACCTGACGGGGCTGAAGCCCATGGTGCTGGTCAGCTTCCAGTCCCCAGTCAACTTCTATCACTGGAAGATAGAGCAGCTACAGATCCAGATGGAGGCAGCCCCCTTCCGCAGCAAAGGTGGGCCTGGGGCGGAGGGGTGCCCCTGAAGGGATCACAACCTGGCAGGGGTGTGGGGACATTGCTGGGGCTTTGAGGGGAAGCTGGGGTCATCAGAGGGATTCATGACCTGGTGGGGGGACGTGAGAGTTTTGGGGGCCTCATGGTGGTCTGTAGCCTGGAGAGGGGCCCAGGGAGGCCTCAGCAGCTTCGTAGCCTAGATGAGGCCACACAGAGGCCCCTTGGCTGGGACGGGCCTGGGGCATGGGGAGTTGCAGGGAGTTCCGGTGGTCTCTGGCCTGTGGGGAGCTGCTGGAAGGCCCCAGCAGCCTCAGTGCCCACTGCCTGCCTGCAGAGTTGTGTAACGCCGAGGAGGTGTGTGTCATGAGCTGGTATACGCCCATGCCCATCAAGAACGGCAGCGTGGTCATGCGCGTGGACGTCAGCAGCAATGGCCTGGGGCCCTTCATTCCCAATAAAAGGTGCCCTTTCCCAAGCCCAGAGCAGTGGGGTAGACTCTGGGAGGGACTTCCTAATCCCCAGGTCCCCAAAGAAGACAGGAGGAGCCCAAAAGGTGGGAACAGGTCGGGGGGGGGTGGCTGTGTGCTAGGGCCGGAGTGGGAACCCTCACAGGTGCCTGCCCCACACCTACCGCCAGTTTTTGGGTGAACATCAACGGCTTCCTGGAGAGACAGCAAGACAACACACTGCGTTTCACTGTGGGAAATGAGGTAAGCCGGCCCGGTTGTGGGGAAGGGTAGAAGGTGTGGTTAGAGAGAGTAGGCTGGGGCCCTGATTACATCCCAAACAAGTGGCAGATTCAATTTACAGAGTGCTAATTGTGTGCCAGGCCCTGGGGGGATGTGCTCTGCTAAATGCACAATCACCTGAGGTCTTCACAGAGACCCATGAGGGAAGGTTCTGTCACATACCCATTTTAAAGAGGAGAAAACTGAGGCCCCAAAGGGATAGAGCCTTTTGCCCACAGTTTCTCATCATGAACACATGAAATGAGACTTGAAACTGTATCTGCTTGACTCCCACACCCATAGTCTTAATCACAGTGCATGCGTGCATTCATTCATTCATTCATTCAGCAGGCACTTCCTCTGAGCACACAGTGTGGCACCATGCGAACATAACAGTGAACACACAGCCCCAAATCTCTGCCCTCTTAGAGCTGACATTCTAGGGGGAGAGACAGACAACAAACCAGTAAACATAAAAATGTAAATTCCATGGCAGGTTAAAAGATGGTAAGTGCTCTGGAGCGAATTCAGACGGTGAGGGGAATTGGGTCCGTGCAGGAGGGGATGGCAGTGTTTAATGGAATGGTCAAGAGAGGCATAATTGAGAAGGTTGACATTCAAGTCAAGCCTTTGAGGAGGAGAGGAAGGAATCATGTGATTACTTGGGAAGAGCATTTCATACAGAGGGAACAGCCAATGCAAAGGTTCTGAGGTGGGAGCCATGCATGGTATGTCTTAGAGGCAGTGAGGAGGCTGATGTGGCTGGGAGAGAGCGGATGAGGGGGAGAGTGTTGGGGGGTGAGATCAAAGAGGTGATGGGGCAAATTACATGGGGTCTCAGGGTCTTGTGGGTCAGGGTAAATTCTTTAGCCTTGACCCTAGGTGAGACGGAGCCGTGGGAGGGTAGGGGGTTGTTAAGCAGCCCTCCTGCCCCTGCCCTACAGCTCTTCAATCTGATACCCCGGTACTTTGTGAATGCCCCATCACGGCCCCTGTGGTACACTGTGGACCAGGCACCTGTGCTCATCCTGGGCGGCATCCCTGAGGAGAAGTCCATCCTGCTGACCGACACAAACTTCAAGGACTTCTTCCTTGTAGAGGTGAGTGGTGCAGGGCAGATGGTGTGTGGGGGGCCTTTTGAAGGGGGCGAGGCCTCAGCTTCCAAAACGGGGTGGGGCCTGGGGCCACGGAAGGGGTCCTCGAAGGCATATCAGCCCCCATAAAAGGCAGATAGCATGAAGGAAAGACATAAGACTGCAGCCAGACAGCCTGGGTTCAAATCCTACCACCTCCTGGCTGTGTGATGTTGGGCAAGTCACTCCACCTACCGGGGCCTCAGAGTCCCCATCAGTAAAATGGGAACAGTAGTTATAGTTACCTGACAGGATTATTGTGAGGATGATCTAAATTAATATCAACTGGACACAGAATGAGTACTATGTGAATCAAAGCTATTATCATTTATAGGTCCACCATTTGTAATTCTGAAATCCAAAGAGCATTTTCATAAGTTGAAGGGTAAAATGCATTTGTTGAGAAACCCTGACCTGAGCTAACAAAGTCTGCTTGTTTTGGTCTCTGTGCATCCCATTTAGTGTTACTATTCAGATGCTGTCCTACAGAAGTATTAAGGGGTTTGATTATGGGGTGCTGCCCCAGGCCCCGCAGAGGGTTTGAATGGTATATATGGTGCCATATTTCCTTCTAAACTCCGGAAAATTCTGAGTTGCGATATACATCTGGCTCCCAGGGTTTCAAATTCATCATTGTGAGCCTGTATTATTCCCAGAATGCGGGATAGGGTGTCTGAAGCAAGGTTCCTTTGGTGTGAATGACAAAACTGTTTGGATTCTTTGCAGCTGTAGGCAGAACTCCAACCCAGTTTGGTTTAAGCAGAGAAATGCATTGAATAGGTGCACCTAACGGCAAAGCCTGAGCCCAGATCAGCCTGCAGGCCTGCCTTGACCCAGGGTTCACATGAGAACTCCAGCTTTCAGCTCCACTTCTGGATTAGCCCTGTCCTCAATGTGGCTCATATCATCCCAACTCCAAGGCAGAGAAAGGGAGCATCTGTTTCCCAAATAGCTTTTTAAAAATCCTGAAATTTATTTGGGCCTGTTTGGCCACTCTTGGGTAGTGTGTTTCAAAATAATGGAATGTGCCGGCTAGCTTAGCCCAGGCACGCGCTCTATTCTAATGAGGGGGACAGCCAAGACAAGAGGCAGAGAAAGGATGGTTCCCCCAAATGAAAGTAGGTAGCTTTGCCACAAGTTGAGGGGAGAAAATGCTGGTTGTTAACTGTGTCCAAGGTAACAACCGTGCACCACAGCAACCCCAGAAGTTGCCCTCAGCCTCCTCCCATCAAGGTTGAAAGCTCCACCGATGATTTCTGATGACCTCATGTGGATTAATGTTCTCTCAGTTCCCTCTGGCTCTGAATACCTGCATCTCCATTTACAGACCACCTCCCTGTCCTGGGTCAGCCCTCTCCGTTCTGGCCCAAGTCTTTCCAGACATGATTCAGTTTTCATGCTCCTGACCCAAACACACCCACAGGGAATATGTGATCGATGTGGATTCTGCTGAAGAGCTTTCGAGGGCAGAGAAGGGGGCTTATGTCAGGGGAGTGAGAAGTTCAATTTCAATTTCAGGCGTCCTTGTTCTTTTTCTTTTTTAATTGATCAAGGATAAAAATCATAAAATTCATAAAATTCACCATTTGTTAAAGGTTTTTTGGGGGGTGTTTTTTGGGGGGGTAATTAAGTTTGTTTATTTATTTATTATGGAGGCACTGGGGATCGAACCCAGGCTTTGGAAGTTGACTTGTTCCTCTGATAATTGTGCATGCTAGGCATGTGCTCTGCCACTAGAGCTATACCCTCCCCCCTAAAATTAACCACTTTAAAATGAACAATTGAGCGCCATTGAGTACACTGATATTGTGCAACCACCACAGTATCTATTTCCAAAAAATTTCCATCACCCCAAAATCGAAGCCCATTTATTTTTATTCTTTAATTAGGGATTTTTCCCATATTGCTGTCTCCTCTTTTCCCTTCTCCTGTTTCACTTCACCACTCCCTTCCAGACTGCCCCTAGGATTCCAGCTCTCCTCCTCGGCCGGGTGTTGGTCAGGTTTAGATGCTGTAACAAAGAGACCCCTGAGAGAGAAAAGCTTAAATAGATGCTATTACTCATTCCTGGAACAGTCCAGAAGCAAGAAACCCAAGTTCCTTCTATTTTCCTGCTTCACCATCTCCTAGACCCCACATGTTGATTTCATCAGCATGATCGGAGCTGGGCCACGCCCATGTCCATATTCCAGCCAATGGGAAGGGGAAAGAGCAGAAATGGACGGCAGGCTGTTTTCTCTTAAGCAAGTTTCACTCCTACTCACATCCTGTTACTGAGAAATTAGTCACATGGCTATATCCAACTGCCAGGGAGTCTGGAAAATATAATTTCTACCTGGGTGGCACATGCCCTATTAAAACTCAGTTACCAAAGAACATGGAGGGAATGGATTTGGGTGCTCAACTAGCTACCTGCCAAAAGTGAAGGAAGAAATTTGTTGGTTCATATAACCAAAAAATTTAGGACTTCAGATCCAGCTTGACCCAGGATTTCAAACAATGTCACCAGGACTGAGTTTCTCTCTTTCTATCTCTTGGACCTGGTTCTTCTGTATTGAGTTTATGCTCAAACAGCTCTGTACTTGAAACTGCATAGGCTGCATCTTCTCAGGCCCACATCCAGTGGGAAAGATCTTTCCTGTTATCCTTCAGCCCCCAAATCACAAGATTCCTTCCACTTGATGCAGTTCACCAATTGCCCACCTTGATTCGATCATTGGAGCCAGAGAAACCCAACAGGCTGCTTATTGAGTTAGATGATCCCGAAGTCTTAAACTTTGCTCAAAGAAGAAATCCAGCTGACTCACAGCTTTCTTTTTCTCATGTATGTGGGAGAAGAGGGGAGGTGTGATGATCCTCTCATAGCTTAGCAGAGAAAATTTCCAAGTATCTCTTCCAGAAAACAGGCATCACTTTAAATATTATCAGGGCACTACATTGAGTATGACAATGAATCAAAATGACAGATTTAGAGGGCACAGGTTAGTTTTACCAGGCATAGCAACAATGTCTGTAGTTTGAATGGATTATGAGTTTTTTTTAGAAATTACACTTTCAAGGACACTCTTCTGATGCTGAGTAGGGCAGAGATGTGAGAATATTCATGTTCTCCTTAATAAAATTTCCCTTAGCTGCAGAGCCTTGAGTTTTGCTTTGATATATACCTTTTTATTGGAAAAGTCAGTGGAAAATTCCACTTCTTAGTGGAAAATTTCAATCAAACACACACAAAAAAGAGAATAATATAATGAATCCAACTTCAATAGTTAATATTTTGCTTTTTTTTTTCGGTCCCACTATTTTTTTGTTCCTGGAATTTTTGAGAGAAAATTCCAGCCATCACACCATTTCACCTATAAATTCTGGGAATACTTGAGGGAAGTATCTCTTACACATGAGGACTTTTTTTTTTTCTTTTTTGGGTGGGGGGAGAGGAAGTAATTAGGTTTGTTAGTTTGTTTATTAATGGAGGTACTGGGAATTGAACCCAGGACCTTGTGCATGCTATACCCTCCCCCCACATGAGGACTTTTAAGAAGTAAAGCCACAATGCCATTAGAATGCCCAGCAAAATTAGCAATTAACCCCTTAATATCATCGAACCTGATTATAGTCATTTCCCCCCAATTATGTAAAAATGTTTGTTTGAATCAGGCAATACACTGCATTAGATTGTTAAGTCTCTTAATACTCTGCTCACCTCTAAGTCTGCTCTCCTCCAACCCCCAACCATCAATCACCAACCACCTTTTTTTCAGGTAATTTAAGAAATCAGGCCATCTGTCATATAGAATTTGGCTGTTTGCTTCTTCATGGAGTTGATTAACTTGTTCCTCTGACCCTGTGTATTACTCTGCTCTGGCTGCCATAATAAGACTGCCAGAGATGGGGGTGGGGTGGGGGGTTAAACAACAGACATGTATCTTCTCACAGTTCTGGAGGCTGCCAGTCTGAGATCAAGGTGTCAGCAGGGTTGGCTTCTGGTGAGGCCTCTTTCCTCGGATTGCAGAAAATGCCTTCTCCCTGTATCTTCACCTGGCCTTTTCTCTGTGTGCCTGAGTGTAGAGAGAGAGTTCTCTGCTGTCTCTTCCTCTTCTTATAAAGTCACCAGTCCAGTGGGATTAGAGCCCCGCCCTTATGACTTCATCAGACCTTGATTATCTATCTCCTTAAAGGCCCAGATACAGTCTCATTGGGGGCCAGGGCTTCAGCATATGAATTGGGAGGAGGTCAGGGGGATAGTTCAAGTGGTAAAGCACATGCTTAACATGCACAAGGTCCTGGGTTCAATCCCCAGTACCGCCATTAAAATAAATAAGTAAAAAACCTAATTACCTTCCCCCCCTCAAAAAAGGAACATCTGTATAAATTGGGAGGGGGACACTGTCAGTGACATGGCCAGTGTTAGTGGTTGGTCAGTGAGTTCAGATAGTGTCAGCCTGAATCAGCCGATTGTGTTCACAGTAGAATGGGACCCGCCAAGCCCTACTGTGTCCGCTGTGTGCTGCCCAGCTCTAGGGAGCACAGGAGGCCCCAGCCGGCTCTGGCCTGCATCGCCTGCTTCTGGGGGTTGGGGGTGCTGGGGAAGTTGGTCCCCAAGATGCTGCTGCAGGGTGAGCAGGGAGGGCACCCTGGGGGCAGCGCATGTATACATCCTGGGCAGTTGTCAGAGTAGTTGCTCCCCCTACTCCTCCCCATCTCGAGGCAGGATGTGGGGGCTAAGAGCAAGGCCGCCTGCTCACCCCTGGCTCTACTCCCCTGCAGCTGAGCATTAACAGTTGCTGGGTAGGCTCCTTCTGCCCCCAGGCCAGCTTCACCGCCACCATCTACGATGCCATCGCCACCGAGAGCACCCTCTTCATTCGGCAGAACCAGCTCGTTTACTATTTTACGGGCACCTATATCACACTCCACGAGAGCAACCATGGCAGCGGTGAGGGAGCTGTGGCTGGGTCACATACCTGGGTGTCCCTGGCGTCTTAGGCAAGGGGACCTGCCCATTGGAGCCCAGGGGAGGGAACCTCAGTGAATCCATCCCCTGGAGGCACCTGGGACTGGAATTGCCTTTGGGGTGGGTGGAGTTGGAGGGACTTCCCAGGCTCCTGAAGTGTCGCTGCCCACATTGTATGGCCTTTTCCTGCCCTCTGGGTGCTGGCGTGAGGCTTTCATCCAGCCTCTCCCAGGAGCTGTGAGCCAACTAAGGGCCACAGAGAGTGGTGTGAGAGTGAAGGGAGGGAGCAGAGAGACAAACATATATGCACGGACACGAGCGTTTGCACACACACACACACACACACACACGTACACACAAAGTCAGGAAAGACAGAAGAAAGACAGTGGGAAGAAGATGACACAAGAGAAGTAATTACGAGGGTCTGGAGAGAG